AAATTACCTTTTTTGCTTTACCTCCTAATTTACAAAATGATATTACTAATATATACATGTTGTTTGCCGCTCGCACTCATGATCAACTATTTTGGGCCCTAACACAAGATGGCATATTTTCAGTCAAATCTATGTATAATGCTATCCATAATAATGAACTTATTAGAACAACTATTCCCGCTGATGATTTTAAATGGATTTGGCAGTTGCATGTTCCTCCAAAAATTTCTTTCTTTCTATGGTTATTATGCCATGATTGCCTGCCTACCAATAACCATCTTATGCGATTAGGTATTATCAATTCTTCTACTTGTTCACAGTGCCCCTTCAACTTTTTAACTTTTGTCAATTAAAGCTAAAACGACCTACGGGCTTCCAAATCAATATCCGGACATACTCCTAAGTCCAAAATCACCATACGAAGCTATCAGAACTATCAAAACTCCATTCTAGAGTCGTTTACACATAAGTCAACATTCGGTCTACTCTTTCAATTAAGCTTTCAACCTTGGGACTAAGTGTTCCAATTCATTCCGAAACATCCCCGGAACCAAACCAACCACCCCCGCAAGTCACATAACCACAATTGAATAAGAATAAGCAATAAATAGGGGAATGAGACTACAATACTCAAAACAACTGGCCGGGTCATTACAATTTCACTAAAGCGTGGATTGGAAGGCGTACGTGAATATTAAAATGGTCTTCAACTCGGAACAAAAGCTACATATTTTTCATTTGATAATCAAGTAAAAAGTACTATAATATCACCATAGTTAATAATTAAAAAAATATATAAAAAAGAATTCAAAAAATCATACTTAAAAAGTTTGACTCCCCACATACTCCTACTTGTTTTCACATAAGATGAGACAACGGTGACAGTATAATACAAAGCGTTTCAGTCCTCCATCTAGGACGAAATTAAGTAAATGCTCACCAACTCAGATAATAACCTCATTTCTACGGAGAGTAGAATCCCGTTGTAAGCTAGTAGGTTATGAATGACAGTAGTACAAATGATAATGAGGCATTCCTCAGTTTATTTTACTTAACGCATGACATAAGAGAAGATCCTCACAAGAATACTCTTTAAGTTAAAAAGAACATTTAAAAAAAAAACAGACGTGAATTATAAATTGCAGAAGAATGGCTAGGTAGTAATTTGAAGAGGCAGGAGCCAAGTCAGACTCATATTTATTTGCCAGTATTCAAGAGGAACTTCTTGTACCAATAAGCAGATTTCTTGAGGTATCTTTTAAGTCCATTTTTGTAGTCAACAAAACTGATGCCAAATCGGACAGTGAAACCAGCATCCCATTCATAGTCATCTAATAATGACCATGCAAAATGTCCTTTCACATTTGCCCCCGCCCTACCAATAATGTAGCAGTTACTTAAAAATTCACAAAAGAAAAAAGAAAAAAAGGAAAAATGACAAAGAAATAAAAAGAAAAAAAAAGAATCTTACTTTATGGCTTTTGACAAAAACCATAGGTGTCCCTCGTAATACCTTATCCTCAAATCATCCTTAAGGGCTTATTTAAGTGGCAATGTACTATTGTTGGCATCAGCCATTCCTTCAATTAATGTCAGCATTAAGATGGCTTTAGTTATAAAACAAACACAAACACTTTTTACAATTGGCGAAAGAAAAAAAAAGGAAAAAAGCTAGGTGAGGTCTTTCTAAGAGATAACATTTACTAATTTACGTATAAGATAAAGCAACTTTAATTGAAATAAAAACATACCATTTTCAGTGATGTAAATGGGAGGATTCTTGTACTTTTGCTTGATTTAGTGGCACTATCTGTACAACGTTCCGTGTGAAGTCTACACCGACCATTCGAGTCTCCAGCACCTGTTTAAGTAAGCGGAGATGGTTAGAGTTGATGAAAGACTATGATATCGCCATACTATATCATCTGTGGAAGGCCAATGTAGTGGCTAATGCGATGAGTAGAAAAGCGGAGAGCATGGGTTGTTTGGAATATTTATGGCGGTAGAGAGGCCACTAGTCGTGGATGTTTAGGATTTGGCCAATCACTTTGTGAGATTGGATGTTTTGGAGCCTAGTCGGGTTCTTGCTTGTGTTGTTGCACAATATCGTAGTTGGAGCATATCAAAGCTCAACCAAGTTTAGATAATATACTTACCTTAAGCAAACCAAATCACTCCGCTAACAAGCCCTTGCTGCATGTATCAACCTTCGAAAGGCTCGAATCTAGCCAAAATAACGTAATACTATCAATAAAAGCCATAGGAAGTGATTCCAAAAGATAAAGCTAAGATCTTTAACTCAAGTCAAAAAGTCAACCCAAAAAGTCAACCCCGAGGAACCCGA